GTTTTTTTTTTTTTTTTTTTTTTTTTTTTGTTAAATTAATAAAAATAATACTAAATTTTAAATTTTATTTCTAAATATCTTTAATTTTTTTTAAAAAAATATATATTTTTTTTAACTTTTATTCATTAATATATTTTTTTAAAAGTTTAAAAATAATATTAAGTTAAGTAAACCCTCTCAAATTTTAAAAGTAGCATTAACACTTTTTATTTGAAAAATGAGTATTTTTTTAATATTTTAAAAAATATTTTTAAGATAAAGTGTAAAAATTCGATAGGGTGTGAAAATATTTCCCTAACAAACGCATAGTAAAACTGTGAGGCTGACGGCGATACGTAGCTAAAACGGATAATGTCTGCTAGCAGTGAACTTGGACTGTTAGAAATTGTATTAGAGTAAGACACTAAGCGATGTGTCAGCGATGATGCTCGATTTTCAAAGGAAGTGGATTGTGATATCTCACATCATGTGGAAAAGGGGAATGAAGCTTTTTTTATAAGGGTGTAAAAATCACTCCTCAACAAATGCGTTTTAAAATCGAGACTGACAGTGATACGTAATAGGTTAAAGTGGACAATATTTGTAGGCGATGGGCTTGGGCTGTTATAAATGTTAACAGAGCTAGACATCGATCGGTGTGTCATCGAGGACGCTGGATTTCCAAGGGGGGTGAATTGTGAGATTTCATATCAGTTGGAGAGGAAAAACAAAACATTTGTTATTAGGGTATGAAAATATTTCCCTAACAAACGCGTAGTAAAACCATGAGGCTGACGACGATACACAACAAGTTAAAACGGACAATATCTATTAGCAGTGGGCTTGAACTGTTAGAAATTGTACAAGAACAGTGTGTCAGCGAGGACACTGGATTTTCCAAAGGAGTGGATTGTGATATCCCAAGTCAGGTGGAAAATGAAGCATTTTTTTTTATAGGGATGTGAAAATTTCTCCTTAACAAATGCTTTTTAAAACCGTGAGACTAACGGCAATACGTAACGGATTAAAGTGGACAATATTTGTAAGCGGTAGGCTTGAGGGGTTACAAGTGATAACAGAGCCAGACACTGATTGGTGTGTCATTGAGGACGCTAGAGTTCTAAGGGGGTGGATTGTGAAATCTCATGTCGATTAGAGAGGAAAACGAAATATTCTTTATAAGGGTGTGGAAATCTCTTCCTAACATACGTGTTTTAAAACTATGAGACTAAGATACGGGGAGTCAAAATTCTTATGCTAATATTATAATAATAATAATTAAAATAACATGTTTTTGAGGCTGCCTAGGTCACTAAGGAACCAAAAAAAAAAACATACAAACATTGAAAGTGATGCAACCATTATGTTTGTCCTATTCATTGGGGGAAATTATGGGAATTAAATAAATCATCTTTGAAGCTTTTTGCATTATTTTATAAGCCAACCAATTATAGAGAAGATGCCTTAACCAAACACTTCTATTGGTAATCCCATTTGGATGATGCTTTTCCTCACTAATCTCTAGATTCTTGTTTCTTTTTCTTTTGATAAATTTAAGGACAATGGGGGCGGTTTTATGTTTGGTTTCATAACAAGTCTACTCATAGTAGATATTGTCTACTTCTATCCGTTACGTATCGTCGTCAATCTCACAGTTTTAAACCTCGTCTATTAAGGAGAGGTTTCCACATCCTTATAAGAAACGTTTCGTTTTCTTCTCCAATTGATATGAGATCTCACAATCCACCTCTCTTGAGGCCTAACGTCCTCGCTATACACCTCTTAGTGTCTGGCTCTGATGTCATTTATAACAACACAAGTTCATCGTTAGCAGATATTGTTTGCTTTGAATCGTTACGTATAACTATCAGTCTCATAGTTTTAAAACGTGTCTAATAGGGAGAGGTTTCCACCCCCTTATAAGAAACGTTTTGTTTTCTTCTCCAATTGACGTGGGATCTCACAATCCACCTCTTTGGAGGTCCAGCGTCCTCGCTAGCACACCTCCCAGTGTCTAGCTCTGATACCATTTATAACAGCACAAGCTCACCGCTAGCAGCTATTATCCACTTTGGCTCGTTACATATAGCTCTCAGTCTCACGGTTTTAAAACGTGTATACTAGGGAGAAGTTTCCACACCCTCATAAAGAATGTTATGTTCCCCTCTCCAACCGATATGAGATCTCACAGGTTTATATAAAACAATCCGAGTATAATTTAGTAGATTAGATATTCATGATGCTTGAGCAGAGAAATGAGATACAAACGGACAGATATCGTATTTAAACGAGAGGGATGTTGAAGATATACAAGTATGATTAAGAAATGTTTAAATATATAAAACTCCAAATCGAAACATGACTGGTTGAAGCAATCTTATGCTCGGTTATCTTTTGAAAAAATTCTTAAAAATAACATGTGAGTGATGACAAAAACATGTTTAACGGTCTCGTGTTGGTCTAAAGGGTTAGTCTTCATTCTCAAAAGGAGTGGACAAGAAGCAGGTAATGTACACAACGTCATTTATGTTGGAATCATTCGATAACGACAACCATAATTTATGTCATAAATTATGATATAAATTCATTGTGGCCTTTGTTTTTTTTTTTTTTCAATAATGTGATCATATTATATAGTTAAAAGATTGCTAGTCATAATGGCTAACATCAATAACGACCAACCAAATTGCCATTAACTATGTCATTGGGTCATTCGTGTCATCAAAACCATTCTCGTAATATAACGAAGTTGTTTGTGATATCCCACATTGATTGGAGAGAAGAACGAATCATTCTTTATAAGCATGTGAAAACTTCTTCCTAGTAGACGCGTTTTAAAACCGTAAGGCTGACGGTAATACATAATGGGTAAAAACGGACAATGTCTATTAGCGGTGAGCTTAAGTTGTTATATTCTTTCTCGGACGAAGAATTCTCATTTGTATGAAGAAATGAGTCGTAGGAGGCAATTAATGGAGACGAGAACATGAAACAGTCTCGATCTGGCCCCGTTTTTCTTTTTTAAAAAATATATTATTATTAATTGAGGAGGACGGGAACAATTAACATATCTCTACTGATCATGAGAGTATAGTACTCAACTCACATCAGGTGGTTAAATGAATATCTTTATTTATAAATGATTAATTAAATATTGAGCGGAATATAAATTATTATTAATTAATTTATTAATTTATGTATGTTATAACTTTGTAACATAATAACGTAAAATATTATATTTATTAAAAGAAAATTACTTTTTTATATATAATTCTAAATTTTAAAAATTAAAAATTTAGACATACTAAAAAAAAAACTATTTTAATTATTTAATTATTATATTTTTGGCGAAATTAAAAGAAAAATGGATTGGGAAACTTATCCACAAACGCTAGAAGAGATAGAGAGGAGATGATCGAACCCTCAAAGTTGCGAACTCTACACTGAATTTACAGACCCATCCATGGCTTCTCTCTCCAGCTTCTTCTCCTTCCTCTTACCTTCAAAACCACCGCCCCCAAAGCCCCTTCAGCCCCTCATTGCCTCTCCTTCTCCGGCGAATCAGGCGGCTGCTCAATTTCAGACGCTCAAATCCAGAGATGGATCGGTTGCTCTAAGCCCCCAACAGGCTCCGAAACATTCCGAGCCCTTATCGGCGGAATTAGCCTCCGTTATCTGCCCCTCACTGGCCTTTGCTAATACTATGTTCTTCAGATCGGCTTATAATGTGCAGGTGATTGTAGATGATAATGAGCCGGAGGAGCGGCTTCTGAATAGATTCCGGCGAGAGGTTATGAGAGCCGGCGTGATTCAGGAGTGTAAGAGACGGAAATTCTTTGAAAATCCTCATGATATTAAGAAGCGCAAGTCTCGCGAGGCTGCTAAACGTAACCGCCGGAGGTCTGTTTCTAAAATTTCTTGTGGTTTCTTTTGGGATTTGTGTTTTTGGTTTGAATTCTGTGATTGTTTGTTTGGATTTTGATTTATTGTGATTCTTCTCCTTGAATTGTTTGCGATTTGTGTCCTGTCGTTTTTTTCTTTTAGTGTTGAATTTGATTGCTAGGAAGGTAACCCGTTAGATGTATGAGAGAAAAGTACCATAAATGGTTGGTCTCATTAATATTGATTCTTCTTCGGTCCTCGTTAAGCTTAGCTTCCCTCGCTTCCCTTTCCCAATGGCTACTCAATGGCTACTCAGTGTTTATGGTGAGCACGATAACTAGTACACTAGAGGTGCGTCCTTCCTGATTTTTATACTGTGGTTACTAAGAGACATGCAGATTTTTTAATCTATATTCAATAGTTATTATGAGGTAGCTGACCTTGTTGAACGATTGGTCCTAGAGTAGGAACATATTCTTGTAAATGTGTATATCTTTGCCAATATGAACAGGGTGTAGAGAACGAAAAGGTTGTTTGAACTTGCCCGATGACGAAGTGAAAATAACTACTCGGTAAAGGACTGAGAGTCTTGCTGCTTGTCATTGAAAATGCGATTGTTGCATTCTAAACCATCTACTCCATAGAAAACTCCTCGTAAAGAATGTTTTGTTCTCCTCTTCAACCGATGTGGAATCTCACAATCCACCCCATTCAGAGTCCAATGTCCTCTCTGGCGCTCATTCTCTTCTCCAATTGATGTGGGACCCCCTAATCCACCCCCGACCGCTTTGTGTCCACCCCTCTTCGGGGGCTCAGCCTCCTCGATGACACATCGTCCAGTGTCTGGTTCTAATACTATTTGTAGCAGCCCAAGCCCACCATTAGTAGATAGTGTTCTCTTTGGGCTTTCTCCTTCGAGTTTCCCCCTCAGGATTTTTAAAACACGTCTGTTAGGGAGAGGTTTCTATACCCTTAAAAATGCTTCGTTCTCCTCTCCAACCGATGTGGGATCTCAGATAAAAGTGCTAGAATTCATTTGCAAAGGGACAGCTACTGAATAGGTGAATTTGAGTTTCCATATTCCCCATGCATAATATAATAAGGGACAGCTAATGCTTTCTCTGTAGGACAACCTGAGTATTGATGTTGGAATAGCTTAGCTCCCAAATAAAGAATTCGATCTTTTTGGGATATGAACCAAAGACTCTGGTTCTTCATTTTGGGAGGAAGGTTAACCCAATTGTCGAACCCGAGAGAATTCCTTCCACACAAGATTGGAGAAAGACCAAACTCGGTAATGAATCTATGGAGAACCCAACTCACTTATCGATCTCAAAGTATGGTTAATCTGCTTATTCGAGTGAACAAAGAAACCGCATGAGTGAGGCCAACGCAACTATAGCTTTTCTGGTTGAGTGCTGAATGCCAACGAGAAGGTGCACCATTTTTTATTGATTAAGAATGACCAGAGATTTCTTCCTTTTTCGTTTCGTTATTATTGTATTTTGTTCTCGTAAGTAGATAATTTCACCGAACATCTTTTATCTCGAAACCAAGTACACCATTACTCGAGATGGAAGATGGCTGTAGAAAAACGTCTTATTAAGTGAATTCTTGAGGCCCCATTAGCTAATTACAACGTTTGTGATGGGAAAATGGATATCATTTACGTGCTAAGGTGTTTGATGAAACTGAGTTATGATTTGGTTGATGAACAGGCGGCCACAGCAAAGATTTACACCACAAGACAAGCAGGATGTGCCTGCAACCAAACAGGAAGCTGATGATGACAACTGGGATTTACCTGAAGAAGGCATTCCTTATTAACCCCAATCCAATCCAATACAATCCAAAACTTCAGCCTCACCACAATGTTTTAATGTTTTCTGCTCATCTTTTGAATTTGGGAAGCTGTTTGTACTCTGTAATCTAAGTTGTTTTCTATGTAATATCATCTTTAGTTGACAAGTTTCTTGCAATATAATAAGTAGATGTAATTCATTGTGTTTCGATCAAATAATCATTTCTTGACTCGTAAGGTGGAAACATAGCGGGTTGATATTGTCGACTTGATGATTATACCTCCCAGAGTATTCTAAAGATCCGGTGACCTTTTTGAGGTTATCATACGAGACGTAGATATAATCAACCCATGTTGAACTAAAACAGGTTGGAATGTTTACACTCCAAATTATTTACTATTTGAAACCTTTATTGCTACAAACTCAATTCTATGTGTTTGTGTCATTCTTTTAGATTCGAATCAATATAAACAAGGCAATTAGAGGTTTGTAAACCATATCATTTGCATTGATGCCCATGACTGTAATCTACATCGGCATAGTTTTGAATGAACTGGACGTAGATCTTTAGTGTCATCAATCACATCCGTTTTTACAAGATGAAGATTGAACAATCGATTTTTGAAAAAAAAATTGAAATTTCATTTGTATTTTTAAAATTTTAAATGTAGTTTTGAAATAAAATAATAGCGTTTTTATATAAAATTAAATTAAAAAATAATAACTGATATTTTTAAATTTTTTTTAAAAAAGTATTTAAGAGTATTATAGAAAAAATTATAAATTTTATGGTTATTTTTATTAATTTAATTTATTTTACTAAGAAAATAGAAAATAAGTTATTTACCCTTTTGGATTGAACTCTATAATACCCAACGACTTAATAATCTGCAAGAAGCATTAAATAAAGGGTTAACCAATAAGAAAGAAACGCCACACCGCCGCCGCCGACGCCGCCGTGGCGACGGTGCTCTATTATAAAATCCCTTTTCAAAACTCATCGCCGCCCACCTCGCCGAGGAGCGATTGGGCGGCCAAGGCTCCGACAGCGGTGATCATATGGCTGAGATAAGCAATGGGGCTCAAAAGCCCCACCGATTGAACCTGGTTCACCAGCCTCCCTTCCGACAACGCGGCTACCATTATCAACGTCCCTTGTCGATCCAACACCGTCCGTTATACTCCGATCATTAAAAATTGGAAAATTGAAATAAACCCACAAGCGAATGGCCGACGTAGTGGATTTTCCGGCCAGTTTGTTGGGAAACATGGTCGAAGACGGCGGGGAGTTCATAGGCGGCGAGCTCGTCCCATGACCAGTCCCAGAAGTCCCGGTCGGCGGGGTTCAGGGCGGTGTGGCGGCGGCTGAATTGAGTCCCTCGTGTGTTGGAAATTTAAACGTCGAAGCCGTTATCGGCGAGAATCAATGGTAGGTTCTGCTCCGGCGAGTTCAGAAGGCATGACATCCCATCCTCCATAAAAATAAAAATCCACAATATAATTATAAACTAAATTACAATATAATAATAATTAGACCAAGTCGGACACGAGATTATATTTTTATTCCTATCTCTATCTTGCCCCGCCCCGTTCTTACTGGCATATTAACCACTCCTATTAAGGTCTGAGCGTCTTTACTGGCACATTAACTCACCCCTTTTAGGTCCCAACATTCTTACTCGCACACATACTATTTAAGAATGTTTATTAATTCACCACAGTTAAATGGTGTGAAAGTTATCTTATTTATAATCGCATATGTAATAAATAAAAATAACAATAAATGGAAACTATAATAAAATATCAAATATAATATATATGGTAAACTATAATTTATTATTAAATATTCTTAACACTATCCACCCCATTCAGGTCTCAACGTCGACACATTATCTATCCACTTCCAAGTCCCAGCGTCTTGACTGACACACTATCCACTCCCTCTCAGGTCCCAATGTCCTTATTGGCACACCATCCACCTCCTCTCAAGTCCCAACATCCTTATTGGTACACTATCCACCCCAGGTCCCAGCTTTCTTACTCGCACACTATCCACTCCTTTCAAGTCCCAGCATCGCTAGCAAATATTGTCTTTTTTGGGATTTCTCTTTCGAGCTTCCTCTCAACGCTTTAAAACGTTTCGGCTAAAGAAAGGTTTTCACACTCTTATAAACAATGTTTCGTTCTCCTTCCCAACCAATGTGAGATTGTGGAATCTCACACAAGGACAAGAAAAGTTTTTCCGTCCCACCCCACCTAATAAAAATTTGAAACCCGAGATCTAAACAAACATACATACATATATATATATATATATATATATATATATTATTTTAGTGGAGTAATATATGCATACAAATTAACCCAACTTTAATTTATAATAATAATAATAATAATAATATGTCACACCCACAAACTCAATCCTTACCATTAAAATTACCTATAATTTTTTAATTTAATAATATAATAAATTCGAACCTCTGATAATTTCGTCAATAATATATATTTTATATTAGCTGAACTAGGTTCATATTGGTCAATAACATGAATTTATTAGAATAATTTTTAAAATATTATCTTCAGAATCGATGATATTTTTTATATATATGACAATGAAAATAGTTTTACTGAGTTCAAGAGGGAAAGAATAAATGGGTTCCGGTTCAGTAGCTTGGTCAAAGTCAGATTCGTCACATTACCACCTTACGACTAAATTTATTATTAAATGGATAAAGAAAACATACCACGAGAATACCATGTTGTACGATAACGGGCGGTTTCTTGATTCCTCAGCCACTCCCATAGCGACCTTCTGGGATCCTCTGCAAGCTTAGGATATATCCATCTTTCGTCGTCACCTATTATGTACATCGAAATTAGGGTTACGGTTGAACCGAAAGTTTTCATTTCATAATTGGAAATTTATGAGGACATTCCTTTAATTAGAATGGTTTTTGCCTCAATTTATTAGTTTATTTAAATTAGGGAAAAAACCTTTTTTTTTTCATTTAGAATTAGTTTAATTTTCTTTAAATAAAGATTTGAATTAATTACCCAATTACGAAATTTAAAATAAAATTTAAAAACCTTTTAATTTTTTTTTATGGGTTGAAAAACATCCAAGATAAGAAAAATATATATATATTTTAATTTCTGGAAAAGAAAAAAAAAAAATATATATATATATATATATATATTGCCTGAATTTCTTGGCACATATAGCCATGAATGGTAACAGCAGAAGCACAGATGCCCAATTCCTCCGGCGAACCAAGGACGCCACCGTGGCCTCGGCCGAAACAACCACCGAGAACCACCGCCGTCGCCGTCATCATAACAGAAAACCCCCGGAAGAAGGCCATTTCCACCGTCGCTACTTCAATTAGCCCTCTATCTCTCTCCCTGGTTAAGGCTTTTTATAATGAGAGAGAGAGAGAAAGAAGGCCCCACGTTGAGGACGTGGCAGTTTTTTTAGGGAAAAATGGGTAAATTTTGGTTTTTACACGTGGATTAAAGTATAATTCAATAATTATCTATATAAACTACTTACCTAATCCTAAATTATAAACCTTAAACGCCCCTTGTCATGGGCATGCTTATGTCGGCACTAAACGTTGATTTCATGTTAGTTAGTCATTTATTATTAGAATTTATGTACGTAGGACCCTTCGCCAAAATCATGTCTACACTTGTTAAGACTAAAATGTACGGTAAAGAAATGTGACTAATAGCTGATTTTTCTACCTAGGTTATATACTATTAGAGTCGTCGTTGTTACTTATTACTTTCTACCAATTGTTTTCCAAAACTTCCTTGAACTCGATTTTCTAAAACTATTTGTCAAGAGCGGAGTCGGAGGACTGAGGTTCATACATCATCCATGCCAACAGTAACCTAAGTGTAGGTATTAAACAATTACATTGTGAGGCCCACAGGGTGCGATTGTGATACCAAAGACGCTTAACTTGGAGGTCCACGGAAGACAAATCTTGTTGATACTAGTAACTATGCATTATTTTTAATCATTTCTTAACCAACTTGTTAAAGTTCGTATATCTATTAGACACAAAATTGAAAGTTTACACGGATATATTAAACCCAACCCGTAATAATCTTAAAAGTAAGATAAGGTTGGGTTGTTGTAACCCTATTTTTGGGTTGACTTAACCAAGAAAATGTCAACTCGCGAATCGACCTGAATTCTTGGCTTTCAAAAAATTCAACCCAATTCAACCTTAATGATTTTGGTTGGATAGTTCAAGTTGTTTGGGTTCTCGGGTGTGATGTCCCACATTGGTTGGGGAGAAGAACAAACCACCATTTATAAGTGTGTGGAAACATTCCTCTACTAGACACATTTTAATGCCTTGAGGGGAAGCCCGAAAGAGAGCCCAAAGAGGACAATATCTGCTAGCGGTGGGCCTAGGTCGTTACAAATGGTATCAAAGCCAGACACCGGACGATGTGCCTGCCTTCTCGCTGTTCCCCGAGGGGGGTAGACACGAGACGGTGTGCCAATAGGAACACTGGGCCTCAAAGAGGGTCTCACATCGATTGGAGGAAGGAAAGAGTGTCAGCGAGGACACTGGGCCCCGAAGGGGGTGGATTGTGATGTCCCACATTGGTTGGGGAGGAGAACAAGGAGAACAAACCACCCTTTATAAGGGTGTGGAAACCTTTCCTTAGCAGACTGTTTTAAAGCCTTGAGGGAAAGCCTTAGCAGACTGTTTTAAAGCCTTGAGGGAAAGCCTTAGCAGACTGTTTTAAAGCCTTGAGGGAAAGCCCGAAAGGGAAAGCCCAAAGATGACAAAAGATGACAATATCTGCTAGCAGTGACCTGGGTCCTTACATCGGGTTACATGAACATACCTAATATATAAAGAGATTTCTTAAGCAAAAAAAAATATATATATGATAATTCAATTTTTATGAAAAAGGTTGTTTATTATAATTCTCAGGAAAAACCAAAAAAGTCCCATTACTTTCATCTTCTTCTTCTTCTTCCTCTCTCCTCTTTGATTTCTAAGATATTCTGATATGAATGTACTAAGAATCTAAGACATGTTTATATATAGACACAGCCTTCAACAACACCAATATCTGTATCTGATATTTCAGGACTTTACACATTTCTGAACAATTGTGAGCTACTCCATGAGCTTTGGGGTCTCACAATGGCACAAAATCAGAGGGAATTTGCAGCTCGTGGTGTGTTTGATCGAGCGTTGTGTTTATA